CGGTAATATGGTTTATAAGGTAAAAATCATGTTTAAAAAATAAATTTCAATTATGTCATGCCCTAAGCCCATGTATTTCATAATTGTTCTTTGTTATTCATTTTCAAAATTAAGTAATTATTTGGAGGCTGTTGTTGCTTTGATAACTTAGCGCAGTCAAAGTTAAAACGACCTAGATTGATTAACTTCTTTTTATTCTTAGTGTTTGTTCATGTGATAAGGAGGCTGCGCAATGATACTAAAATAAATTGCATGCCGTCGAAATTTGATCAAATGATGATTTGAAAGTTGTGATAAGGCTTCATACAAGGCTTCATAAACTAATTGCATCATTTTATTTTAAGAAGGAAAAGTGAAAAGTTTATTGTAATTTAAAATTCAGATATTTATTTTTCCCTTGTGTAATAGTTGATGGAAGGCATCAACCAAAGAAATGAACATATATTTAGAATAATTTTAAAAATGCTTTCATTTCTTTATTATTATTTGTTTTCTAATTAATTATTTTATTTGGACAAGAGCAGTGGTAAATAACAATTTCCTGCCTGAACAATCCAATACTGAACTGAGCATATTATTACTTTAAAACTGTTTTTATACCTATGTAAGTCATTGTAAGACTTTCAGAGGGCCAAAACAACTTATTAGGCATCTATATTTCAGTGATAAATTCAAATGCATTGGATATAGATTGTTATTTATTTTAAAAGAGAATCCAATTTAGCTCCTTTTGAAAGGTTCAGAGGGACGATAAAAACAAAATGTTCACCTAAATTTTATTTAATGGTGTTTAGGATAAACTGTCAATAAATTTTAAAAAATTCCAACAATCCTCATAATTCAAAAGATTAAACAACAATCACCACATTGCACATGATTTAGTAAGAATCGTTATGTTAACAGGATTTAGAAAACACCTCATATATCAATGATTTGAGAACATTATATTTTCACTGATTTAGTAGCATCATTTTACATGATTTACCAACCACCATCATATTTTGCAATATTTACTGACATCACATGAGCTAAGATTATTTTATTGATCCAAATAAATGTATTTTTTTAATTACAAATAATAAATTCATTCTGATAAGAGACAATTTTGAAGTAGCACAATTTAACACTATATTTCTCAAGCGCAAAAAATAAACCGTCACATGCCAATCAACTTTATTCACATAATGGTCATGGTTACTTGCCCTGAGAGTGATTATGTAGATTTGTGTTTAAAACTGGTCAATTCAAATACATTCGGGAACACATACATTTTTATAACGATAGGTCCTTACGTTGACGGATGTGAAATGTAAGACAGATAATTGTTAGCTTTACAAATTCATATTGATTAAATTAGTTCTTCAAGGAAAGGTGGTTTCGTTAGGGCTATATTTCTTGATTTCTTTTTAAATCTATTTAATGGGTGTTAAATGAAAAGTGATGAATTCCAACATCAGTAGATCATATTAAAAAATTGGTTAGCATCCAATCATTCAATTATAAAATGTTAATAATGTGTTTTTTAAAATCAAACGTGCAATATTTTAAACAAGAGAAGTCTTAGGTTAAATGTTTAGAATTGAAATAGAATTAGAAATACAATAAACACAACAGCTTTTTATCTTACGTTGTGGTTTGATAGAATTAAATGCTGATAACAAGTCTGATAAAAGAAAACGAACTTATTTTTAGGGCTTTCTAGATTAAGATGACCTAATCATGAACGGAAGAAACGGGACACACCCTAGGAGGGTAGTTTTTTTTTTGTTTTTTTTTTTGGGGGGGGGGGGGGGGATACCCTTCAGTTAAAGTGGGGCTTTGGGCCCTCCACCGGAAACTTTTTATTGAAATATGTTCATTTTAACAATTTTGATACTTAGAAATGTTTTAAATTTACCTTCACTTCATTATACGTAGCGGTAGTTGAATCCTAATTTGTTTCCGCGCAGTTACGTAGCCCCCTCCCCCCCCCTAACCCCCGTGGCTTCAGGTTTGGTGTCTTTCGCTATACATATCAAATCCATTGCAGGGACACTGTCGTTTACGCAGCGTCGGTGAAGGGGCAACAGTTCAGCCATCACGCGAGCCCACATCACTACTGGCACTGGCTACAAATACAAAGCTAGCCAAAATAGCACTTCAGGTTATATTATAAATTAGAAAGTTTTATTGATTTGAAATGTGTTGGGTTTTAAAAACGGGAAATTTAGGCGTCCCGAGAGACTTTTTTGGGACAACGGTTACGGTTTTTAGCCTATTTCATTTAAATTTGACTCAGGATCAGATTCTTAAAATATTTTATTACAATATAAGTAAGTTAGACAGAATGCAAGTCGTCATTGCGTAACAAGCATGACAGGACATACATTGGCAAAAGGAAGGGTGAAAGGAATGGACCGACCAAACAGTTTTTACTTTTTTAATTTCGGCCGAAACCGAAACAAGCTCGAAAGCTGCAAATGACTTTCTGCCAAATACAAAGCCGAAACAAAAAGCTTAACAAAACTTTTGGCTGAAACCTAAATCAAAAGCGTAGAGATACTTTCGGCCGAAACCGAGGCCACATCCGCAAGATTTAGATATTTTAAAGCACTTTCGTGCATTATGTTCTGCATACATAGATAACTGATCTAAAAATAATCGTGAGTTTTAACAGAAAAACATCTAATGAATTTTTTGGCTTTCATCATTTTAATTAAAAAGTAAATTAAACATGTTGAATTTTTTTTTTTTTCAAATAGTATGGTAAGACAAAACTGGCAAAAAAGTGTGGGGGGGGGGGACAAAATTCATGCAGACTAGAACTTTGACCATCCTTCCCTTTTAAAATGTAAATACAACGCTGCTGAGACATATTTTCCCTCCGACAGATAGACGGATTCTGCCTGCTGGTAGACAACCGAAAACTACAATCATTTTTGGCCAGAATGCCAAAATAACTTTCGGCTCAAACCAAAAATAAATCGAATGTTTATTTTTCTGCTTTAATTGAAAGAGAATATAAACCAAAACATAAATGTTGTGCTTCTGTCGAAATCGAAATACCGCGAAAGGGAGAAAAGCACAACTTTCGGCAGCGAGAGCGACGATAAAATTCTGTCGGTATCCAGTGACAGGACGTATGTCGACATTTAAATAAATTTGTGCCAGGACATAAGTCGAAATTTCAATAGATCTGCGAAGGTATGTGCGTCGTTATTGAAATAGAAGTAAGTTTAAAAGGATGTAAATTCTCATCCAATGGAAGTGCAACAGGAAGTAAGAAGTTATTGAATTAGGTATTATATCATACTATGACAGCAAGACGTCCAGCAAGATGAAAATCGGATTGCCGGCCGACAGATAGACAGATTCTGACTACTGGTAGACAATCAAAATCCTTAATCAATTTCGGCCAGAAGGCAAAACGTCTCAATAACTTTCGGCTGAAACCGAAAATAAACCGGAAGATAATTGTTCAGTTTCGGTCGAAACGGAGCTTGTGGGGCTCGATGTGATCGTGTACTCTAACTCAAGATCTGTTCTTGAGATCTTGGGAAAGAGACCAGTATCCACTCACTTTGTTGACGTCATCATTGATGACGTGTGCAAAACGGTCGAAACCGAAACTATGCCGAAAGTGATAATGGGGCAACTTTCGGCACCCAAAGCGAAAACGAAATTTAATCGGTCTCTAATGACAGGACGTAAGTATTCATGGCAGGTTGTAAGTCGTCGTACAGAGATTTACGACAGGGCGGCGTAAGTCACCATTGAAATAAAATTTCGACAGGATTTAAGTCGTCATTACCATAGAAATGCTACAGGACTTCAGACGTCTTTACAATAGAAGTGCTACATGATTTCAAACGTAATTCCAATAGAAGCCAAACAGAACGCAAGTCTTCAATTCAATAGATTTGCGAGAGTATGGAAATCGTTATTGACATATAATTAAATTGAACAGTATGTAAGTTATTATCCAATGGAAAGCGACAGGACGTAAGTAGTTATTGAATTAGAAGAGAGTATGACAGGACGTAAGTTCTCATTACTATAGAAGCCTAACAAGTCCTCTCTCGTTAGCGCTAGTTTTTGACCTAAGTGAGAATGTCATCAAGTGCCTCTCTGTTAGTTTTTAGTTTTTGAGCTTTATAAGAAAAACATCACCTGTCCCTCTGTTAACTCTAGTTTTTGAACTATGTAAGAATGGCACCATGTGTCACTCTGTTAGCTCTAGTTTTGGAGATATTGAACACGTTACATTTTAATCGTGAAACATTAATGTCACTTATTGCAACGAAAGTATATTACATGTAAATTTGCTTGTTCCATTTCAAAAAGACACATTTTCAAAAACAATTATCATTTACACAAACATATGGTTAATTTTAAAAAACTCTATATCTCCAATCTAAATTAGACAAGTTTTCATGACATTCTTATTCTGAAAAAGAGATCTTACATTGAGCCTATTAGAATTACATAAACTCAAACATTTCTAAAAGTAAAAACAAGAGCCATAGAGTAACAAAAAATTAAACTGTGATATTTCAAATCAAGAGACCCAATTATCATTAGAAAAAGACTTAAACCCCAAAATTTACCAATAAAAAATCGAACGTCTTCAAAAATTTCTTTTCATTTAGTTTCTCTGACTTAAACAAATAATAATCACTGGTGAAAAACAAGCTGTTATAGTTAATGTAACACCCAGACATTTTCAGATGTATACATAATGCCCACTGAGCACAAACCATTTTTTATAAAGAAAAAAAAAATCTTCTCTGGTCAAAATCATACTTTTATGAGTCGTTAAACTCCACAAATGTCAAACTTAAACATAAAGTCAACAGAACTAAAAGAATTTAAAATATAAACACACAGAGACCCTAATACACTACTTATGACAAAAGGGCTTCCTAATACCCAATGTAAAAAAAAAATGCTCTAGACAGAAAAAGTGCATGACTTTAATTAACATTGCAACAACACTTTCATTGGCAAGAGGACTACTTATTCTCAGGTTGAAACCATAGGCTGATAGATAAAATAATCCAGACACACAATCACAACGTTTTAATTAACAAAGCAATCACTTGACATTTTTGTTTATTGTCTTCATTAGCTGCATTTATGGCAGCTAGTGGTTCTTGATTGCTGTAAGACAAAGCTGTTCTCATCAATGAAGGAGCAAATACTACGGCCAGGTTTTCGGCAGTCATCTTGTTGACTGCTGCGTTATTCGCAACCCTGTGGATAACAGAAATAACTACTTAGTTAATTAAGGCACAACTAACTTTAAATATAGAATAATAGCAGGAAATTTTAATTCCCAAATGGGGGATATAGGCTATCCCGATACAAAAGCTTTAGGACGCAATTTAGTGGAGGTTGTGCTCACGACCAAGTTCATTTGGGCTGCATAATGGCGACAGTGAACCAACACTGCTCTATACTGGAAATAGTTCCATGGCTCACCCCAATGTAACACTATTCTCAGCCAAACTTGAGGAAAAGATTCAGAGTGTATGAGGTTGGCAGTGACCATCGACTGATCCTCTTCACAATCGATCTTGTGCTGGCAAAGTCAAGGTTTGTTAGGAAGCACTGGCTCTGTTACGAAAAGTAGAGATCATAATCGCAGAATCAGCAGCAATTTCCGATGCCTTTTAAAGCTCAGACGCTGCATACAGCAATTTCGTATGTAGTATTCCCATTATGGCTAAATAATGAATCCTTAGAACAAAAGGGAATCGCAAGTTTCGCCACTTTTGAAACAAGAGCTTGGCAGAGATGGTTTGTGAACTAAAGAGAGCTTGGACCAAAGCCGGTAAGTTGAAGACGGCTGCTGCTCTGAGGTCCGGAAGGGGTTCGATAGGGCGAAAAAGGAAAATCTCTTAAGATATGTGGAAAACGAGACGGAAAAAAAAATTTGGCGATTGAAGGACTCTCTATCCTGCATGGGAAATTTAATTAATGTGCGTCTATGGTAAACGACGACAGGCAAGGTCACCAAATATGCCAAAAGTGCCGAGGCTCTAAATAAGCATTTTGAAAAGATCAACCGGAAGCAGAATGAGTCCAGATAGAGCAAAATCCTAAACCGTCTCAGATTGCACTGACAAGTGGCCCCAGTGTTGGGACCACATGATGAAGTCTTTACCGCACCTTTCACTATGATTGGTTGCAAAACGCCATCGACAAATGCATTGCTGCCAAGGGGCCATCCATAAAAGACGTCCACCAATTTTTTGCTATTTTTTATCCCCCCTCCCCCTTTGTCCACTTTTGTCCACTTTTGACTTGAAGTTGTGGACGTCCAAAACATAAAATTTACCGAACTTAAATTAATGAATATTTTGGAAAAATGTAATACAATATAAAGAGTATATATTTACAAAGATTTTTTTTAGAAATTCCAATTATTTGCAGGCAAAATTCTAAATGAAATAATAACTGTTCAAATTTTTTTATTTAATTGCTGTATTACAAAATGTAATTAACAAATAATCCACCATTCTTCAATCAACGGAAAATTCGGACTGCAGCCATTCAAACATGTTTCGTATAATGACAACATCTGTTCTTGAGTCTTCAATTGCTAATTCAATTTGAGTGGCAGTCTCTTCGTCTGATTCGTCTGCCATATTATGTTCACTAGCAGGAATATTGCAATGGACAACCTTATGTTTTTTCATAGCCGCCTGTGATGGGAAATATTTACCGCAGAAACATATTCTCTTGGACATTCTTCCAGCCACCGATGGACAATAGAGATCAAAGGCATGGCACTGTAACTGTGATCGGGCAGTAAATTTGCAGTAAATTTATGCAAACTGCTGCACTCAAAAAAACACTACAATGTGGACATCAACTTTGTCCTAAACCCCCTCCCCCCCTTTGTCCACTTTAATCCACTTTTCACTGAACCCCCCTCCCCCCTTTTGTGTGGACGTCTTTTATGGATGACCCCCAAGGCGCCGATTCGGGACAAAATCTCCAACGGAATGATAAAAAACCTTGACTCGATAGCTAGGAAACAGCTATTGTCACACATTCTCAGATCTTGGATAACAGGTATCCTACCCAGGGCTTGCTTAGCACTACCATAGTCCCAATACCAAAAGAAAGGAAAAAACTTGATCAATCGATAGGCTATCAAACGATTCCCTTAACATCATGTTTAGGGAATGTGTCCAAGAGGCTCTTTTGGTACCTGGAGAGTACCGGAAGTCTCAGACCAATCAAAGCGTGCCTCCACAACGGAATGCAGCATTTGGATCATGTGTTCCGTCTTCTCGACAGATGGGCTCCAGAAAAAGTATCATACAGTACTGCATTTTTTAAACCTCCGACAGGCCTATGACCGGGTTTGGAGCTCCAGGCTATTTGTGAAGTTGCAAAAGCTGGGATAAACTGCCAACAAGTACATGTAGGTCACCGCCGTCTCACGAAGCGGACAATCAGCACGAAATTTGGCAAGAAAACTCCAAGAAGAGAACCCTCGAAGATGGGATCCCGTAAGGGTAGCCCTTAGTTGCCCTCTTTTCCTAGTTTACATCATTGACTTGCCACTAATCTAGCAACTAATGTTGCGATTTATGTTGATGATTTGGTTATATGTAGATCCGGTAAAGAAGTATATCGCCTTTAAATGCTATTACAGGAAGACCTTTCTTCTATCTATAGGTACATGTGGCGCTGGCATCTGGAGATCAACAGCAAGAAGACGGTCTACTCACTATTTATCCCCAGGCAGAGAATTCTCAAACAGGAGATCGAGCTCACGGTAAGTGGTATAGCGTTTACCTGATGGTCCAATTGGACCAAAGGTAAAAACTGAACAACTTTATACAAGACCTCTGCTCCCAGGCAACCGCCCAGCAGGGTGACTACCGAATGAAGAACTCTCGGAGCTCTGTGGGACTGCAGCTTCAAAATTTGATGTGAAGCTTGGATTTATGCATGGGGCCCTAAAGAGAGAGTGCATTTCACATTGAAAGAAACGGAGCTTGTGGGGCTCGATGTGATCGCGTACTCTAACTCAAGATCTGTCCTGAGATCTTTGGAAAGAGACGTGTGCAAAATAGGTAAACTAGGAGGCAAGGTGACAGTACAATGGATCCCATGTCAAGTCAACGTCAGTCGCAATGAGAAAGCGGGCACTCTGGCAAAAACCGGGGCTGCCAGCCTCAGCCAGTATTATCAATAACTTATTCGGGAATCAAGAGCTGTCTGACGGACCATTTCAGTACGACGTTTTACATGCGATGGGCAGGCAACACGACCACCAGAGGTGTCTTTTCAAACATGCCCATTCCTAGCAAACAGGACCAATGGTGGGGATTAGGCGGCAGAGCTGAGTGACTCGGAAGCGTACCAAGCACTGCCCCATAAAATCTACTTCTGGGGGCTGGAAAACAACAGGGATCCTATCTGCCGGCATTGCAGTCTGGTCCCGGAGACACTAGCGCACCTATAAATCGAATGTCACTCACTAGATGTCTCGGGGGAGGTCGGGAGGGGGAGTTGAACATTTATTTGTGAAGAAAAGGTTGTATTACTCAGCAGAATATGTGTGTTAGTTAGTTCATTAAAAACAGTGCTGTAATTAGAATATTAGAAGGTACACAGCTTTCGCCCCCAACAAAACTTAAATTTTTTACCAGAAATTTTTCTCATTGGAATCAAAGAAATATTGCACTGCAATAAAACGATATACTTGAGATAACTTTGTTTCTAAAAACCAATCTTCAAAAGTATAAAATGTCCAGTCTTTTTATGCTTACCGACGCAGATGGAGTATGATGTCTGTTAGACATTCTAAATGTGTCCTCTCCAGTTGTTGTAATACACACTTTATTCTTTTGCATTTCTCAGACTCTGTGATACAAGCTGGGGAACAGATTTGGTTGGCTGGATTTTTTCGTTTCTTTTTTTTTAATTTATTTTTTTATAGTCCATTAAAAATAGACATTTTGAGAAATTGAAAGAATTATCTGGTGGTATTGTTTATCATTTGTTACCGCGCTTCGAGCCTTTAGGGATGAAGCATGTTTTTGAAATGCACTTTATTATTATTATTATTTATTTGTTAATACTGGACAATGTTAATTCAAATAATCAAATAATAACAGCCTTGGCATCAAAGTATCCTCTTTAAATCTGTATTCGACCACTGGCGAATAATCCGCAAAAGGCTTTTTGGGGTGTTAAGATTGTCCAAAAATATTCTCACGGGGTCAAAATATGGATATTTAATTTTGGTAGATTGATTTGATTTTAATCAAATTTTGTACAAATTAGATTTATACAATACTTAAAGATTGTCACTCTCCATAGTCATATTTTTTTTTTCAAAATCATAGTCAGATATAACCTGATTGGTTTCTAAAGCAGGATCCCACCCGATTTTTTTCATCATAAATATTTCCTGGGAAATCCTCCCATACTGGAATTTTACCGCTACGAATTTAAAAAAACACAATCAGAAAGACATAAATTGCCACAAATTTCACGATAAACCTTGACCCAATACATTCAAGTTAATTCGGTTAATGTTTAGCATACAATTGGTATGATGATACTACCAATGTCTAAGTAGTTTTAATAATCTGTATAGTTGGAGTGTTTAATAATATAAACTGAAAAACTGCAATATTTAATTATAAAAATGTATCCTTGGTAAAGTTAAACAATATAATCCTAATAATGGCAATGTTTGTTTTTTATATGTACTGTAGCTAATAGCAGAAGAAATTTTTTTTTTAACTTAAAAATTATAGAAAGGCTACCATTTGCTCTCAGTAAATCTTGCACAACGTCTTCGTTGATGAGAGGAGTGGCCAGCTCTCTAATGATCATCTTTAGCAAATTACAGAGCGTTATTACGGGTAGACTCTGGACAGCGTTGATGTCTGCAAACACAATTATTTGATTAGATGCAATCTGCTTTGTTGCTTTTCTAAATCAAGGTTAAGAAATCCAGTTTAAGAATACTTAAATCAAGAAATCACTTTTTAAAAGAGAATTGAACATTTTTGTACATCCTGGATAAATAAAATTTAAAGTTATATTATTTTTACCATAAATACCCTTTCCCCCTCAAAATATTTTGTTGAATAACATGTCTATGTGCCACTCAGACTTAATGATTGAAGAACAAATTGGAAAAATATATTATTTTTTTAAAAAACCTGTCCAATGCAATGTCCAATGTGTGCAATATACATATATTAATTTTCTTGGACCTTGTTTATCAATATGTTGTTTTTTTTAATTGAACACATTCAAAATTGACTGAACATTCATACTTTATATTATGTACTTTAAAGTTCAAATCAACGTTGTTCAAAGTGACCTATGATCAGTGTACCACAGCAACAGAATTGTGGTGTTTCTAATCATGCTATGCCAGGCAGTATCTACAATTATATATAAATGTACAGCCATGTATAGTGATTTCTTCGAATTAAGGCTATTCTAAAACGAAAGCACATTTTAACACTTAGTTGCCACAAGTAGCAAAAATGAAATTCGGATGCAATAAGGAGATGTTCTACCTATAGCAAAGTATTCGTTTCTTAGACCCATCATGTAGATAATCTATCGGTTTATGTTACAGCAAGTTACAAGGTCCTTAAGATAATTATGTTGAATAAAATAAAGAATAATGTCGACACGCAGCTATAAGATCAACAGGCTGGCTTCCACAAAAAGAGTTCAACCATAGATAAAATTGCAACAGGAATCAATGTAGAACAATCCATTGAATGCATATCCACTATATATACATTTTATAGACTACGAAAATGCCTTTGACAGCCTAGGCAAACAAACCTTGTGGAAATTTATTATGCAATATAGAGTACCGGTACCTGGAAAACCAATCTGGGTAATTTAGAGTTCTTATAAAAAAGTGGCATGCAGGCTGGTACACGAAGGAAGACTCACAGATGACTTTAAAGTGGAAACAGAAGTCAGAAAGGATGTCTCCTTTTCTATTTATACTCACCATTGACTTGATATTGAAAACAAAAATCCATGAATAAAGAATCCAAAATAAAGATAAAAGAGGTCGCAACCATTTTAGCACAGCTTGTTCTCAACAAAAATATTAAAACAAGACAAAAACCATGAAGTTAAACTAAGCCACCCATCGGCATATCTATGTGGCCGGAAATGCACTGGAAGAAGTGGATGACTTAGTATACTTACCAATCAAATTTGAAATAAATGGTGGATACGAAGTGTATTTCAGTGCTAAAACTGAAAAGGCAAGATTAGCATTTGTGCTTTTAAATAAAAAATAGGTGTCAATGGAGCTGATCTGCAAACCAAAAGAAAAAATCTTCAACAATAGTATCCAAACTCTTCTACTGTATGGAGCCGAAACTTGCAAAAACAACAGTGAAAATTACGCAGAAACACTTAACTTATAAAGATCCGAAAAAATGAAATGTCCTAGTACATCACCGACACATTTCTGGAAAAGACATACCAGGAGAAAATTGATAAAGAGATCATAAAAAAATGATGGAGGTGGATAGTCAACAATCTCCAATAACCCCCAGAGAGCCTCACCAAAAAATCCATAACATGGAACTCACAAGAAAAAATAAAGAGAAGAAAGGCCAAAGTATTCAAGAAATCGCAAGATTGAGGCTGCCACAAAAAGTATGGGATACACCTGGAAGTAAATTGAAAGGGAAGCTCTGGATCTTGATGAATGAAACATTCTTGTTCAGTCTATGCCCCAGACGTGTTAAAAGCCATAAGTAGGTAAAGTTGCTACGGAGATTATTTTATTTACACCGGTAATTGCAATCGTATGTAGCTTATATTACAATGAAAAAACATAACAAAAACTACACTTGTAGTTTATGTTTCCAATTAAAAAATAAATTATGAAATTTATCAAATCGGCAAAATGTGCATGCCTGCCAAACATTGCTATTTAAATTAAAACGTAATAAATGATTCTTTACATTTAAAAAAAAAGCTCCCACAAAAAATTTTGAAAAGTCAAAATAATAAATATTTATAGTTTATATTAATTTTATTATAAAATTGTAAATGTTTCCTCCTAATACGTGCAGTATTTGAGTTTTTGTATAATGTCGGAAATTCCAAAAAACATTTCCGATTTTATTTAGAAATTTAAATTGCCGGGATTGTTTTACAATTTAGTGGTTTTGCTTTTAATAAACAATAAGTCTGCATTGCTGTGAGTTAAGGTCAGCAGATGCTTAGGATAGATTTTGATGGGTAAAAGATGTAGATAATCTTCAATTCTCATTGATGGCAGCTCTCAGTTAGTCAGCTTTTTAATAAGGTATAATACACGGAAGATCACACTCGCCTTAGTTTTGGAGGGAGATCATTGCATCATGCCAGAAAAAGAAAACTTCTCAGTCCTTATGTCTCATATAATTATTGGAGATATAGGCGTCTGTAATGTATTTTCATATTTAATAGTCTTTGAAAGAATTATAAACACTGTAAAGCCACAAACGGATTGGTAATGATGGTCGTACTACCAACTGAGACATTATCAAGGCTGCTAGCACCTAACTGTGCTTTTAGTTCACAGATTTTTACTGCTGTTACTAATTGGTACACACAAAAATACTGGTTAACTAAAACCACATTCTGGTCATTGTTTAATTAGAATTTTATAACTTAGGGCAAGCAAATTCTAAATATCAGTTTATTTGGATAAGTAGGATACATTTCTTCAGTTTAATCAAAATTAATGTAATTTTATTAAGTAAATACTACTTCTGATCACATTTGCCATTTTTCCACATTCATCTTTCTTTTTCTGGCACGACTATTTTACAATGGGACATAAAGAGCCAAATTTGAATCTAATTTATAACCAATGGAGACATCGTAAAATAGAAAAACGATTTTTTTTTAATAACTCCTTATTGAAATGTTAATTTATTAAAACACTAAGAACATTATTTATGGTTAATTAATTAACTATTTTGTCATTATTTTTTTCATTTTGTATAATTCATGGAAATGTACTGCCCATTTTGCTTATATGAGATTGCGTACTGCAAAAGTTAAGCGTCATGTGATTTGAACTGCAAAAGTTGAAATGTATGTGATTTATACTGCAAAGTTGGCACGTATGAAATGTGCAACTTAAGGTCACAATAGCACAGGTACCATGAAATCGATATGTTGTTTTATAACTTGAGTTTCAAATTAACAACATGACTTATCTATCGTCACATAACATCATCATTCCTACCTTTTTTTCATTGAATTAATTCAAAAGTTAGTTGTTAAAATACAAAACCATGAAGTTGCAAACTTTTTATAAACATTTTTGGAGATGTTGGGTCTCCGAAAAATTGAAACGTATTAAGGATTCAATTAAGATTTCCATAACATGTAGAGAAAGTAATAGTTGAAAAGCTTAGTAACATTTATAGGGTTCGATCCAATAGGCAGATTCACATTATTTTCCAATTTGATGTATTGAAATGTACCTGTAGCTATGTCTTGTCTTGCTTTTGTCAGCTCACACTGAGGAGATGAAAGCCTGTAGACGCCTTCGGTGTTCAATCCTATGAATTAGACAGGAAATTATTCAATACTGAAATGATCAGACTAATTGGAGGGAATTAAAATAAGGACTACAAAGTACAGATGTTTACGTAATAAAATAACATTTATTTAATGTAACCCTATTCTGGTAACTCATATTTGACATTGTAATAATATTTTTTTTATATGATATACCATATGATTCTACCACAATGTTACATTCTGATATTATACATTTTAACAATGTCTTATTTATCTAAAATACCATTTAAATCCAAGAAATTTATAATTTCTAATATCATGCTGTGCACAAATTGGATGTTCTCAATTTGTTCAAGTTCTTCTTCGGGTGACTTCAGTTTTCCTGAAGAAAGAAGGGAAATATCCTAATTGACATTAAAATATTTAATTTGACTGCCCAATTTTAAACACACTGTGTTTAAAAGTATTAAATCTCACCTATTTATTTCATTAATAAAGGACAATTATATATAACTAAAAGAGCCAATAAAAGAGTTTTTAATTTTATATTATTTTAAATTTTAAAGATTATTTAGTAAATAAAGAACGTTTAATTTTAAAAAAAATATTTTGAAACGTTGTCAATTAATAAAAGAGTTGTTTGAATGCGATTGTGTAATACCTAATGCTGACTCTTGCATAGACTGCATCATTATATGTGTGATTGTGTGTGATTGGGTCAAACTTAATGATGACCTTTGCATAGAATACATCATTTAAGGGTAGCTTGTGTGTGAATTTGTCAAATTTAATGCAGACCCTAGCGAATAATTCATCATAATAGAGTTCCTTGTGTGTGATTGTGTCAAACCTAATGCTGATTCTTGCCTAGAAAAAATATTTGCAATAAATAAAATTATATTAATACAATCTTAGTATAGGACTTTCCGTAGAGATTTTTCTCTCAGCGCATGACAGTTTGTCCTTCACAAGCCCAAAATAAACTAAAAATTGTCACCGAAAATTTGAATCAGTACTTACTGCCACAGTCCAGCTTTGGAAACCAAAAACTTCTTTTCAAATAAGCAACAAGCAGTCCAGTAAAGAGTGCCAACATGCCAACGATGCTAAAGATTAACCCAATTTGGCTTGGCACCGATTGCAATATGTCATCACTGTCTGTTTCTGCTTCCGATTCAGCTGTTAAACATTCAGGAAAGGGAAAAAAATCATAACATTTGCTACACCAGCCACAAAAAGTGGACTACTAATTATCTTAGGTGATATGAGAACTGATACATTTGACATAGTGCTCAGACATGACCATAGGGGAAATAACGAAACCAATCAAAGATCAAATGACTTGTTCTTTCAGATAAATTGTTTGAAAGCATATTTCTGGGAGATCTGTGAACCTACATTTGATAATGCCTGTCATAATGATTCTAAGTGCTTTATCAGACTTGCCACTCAATCTAACCTACATTTTATATTGACTGTCATAATGGTTCAGGGTTTTTTATCAGCCTTGCCATTCAATCTAACATTCATTTTAAATTGACTGACATATGATTCAGGGTGGCTAATCAGTCTTGCCACTCATTGTAACCTACATTTTACATTGTCTGACATATGATTTATGGTGGCTTATCAGTCTTGCCACTCATTCTAACCTACAATTTATATTGTCTGACATATGATTCAGGGTTGCTTATCAGTCTTGCCACTCAAACTAACCTACATTTTATATTGTCTGAAATTTGATTTAGGGTGGCATATCAGTCTTGCCACTCAATCTGACCTACATTTTATACTGTATGATTCTGGGAGCTTCATCAGCCTTGCCACACTCTAACTTACTACAAAATACACTGTCTGACAGAAGGATTCGAAATGCGTTATCAACCTTTCCACTCACTCTGACCTATATTTTATAGTGTCAGACAGACAGTTTCCGGGTCCTTTAACCTTAACAGCCTTGCCAGTCAGGCTAACCCACATTTTACATTATCTCATAGACTATTGTTAGATGATTCAATCGTACATAACAACGAACAGAAAGAAACCGGAACATACAAAAAATCATCTTTTAAATCTTCAAATGATCACATCTTTAGCTAAATCATGTGTTTTTTTAAATATTTGCCATACGATATAATACTTACATTTGACAGAGCGAGTCAGATTCAGCCAATTCTTCTGAGAGTAACCCTTATACGTTTTAGTGCAATAGTAAATGCCGTAATCCTAGTTGCTAAGGTCCTCTATATACAATTTAATGTCACCAGTATTATTGTCAATGGAGAAAGTCCAGTTCCTTCCGTCAGAGACAAACTAAAACATAAAAATAAAAAAAATTATAAGCAAAAAAAAAAAAAAAAAAAAAAAAAAAAAAATTTTTTTTAAAAAAAAAAAAAAAAAAAAAAAAAAAAAACATGTTTTTTTATAGAAGACTAGCCATAAGTAATTCTGAAATGAAATTTTTGTTGTGAACTCTATTAGGGGCGTGAATATTTGGTAAGGAAAAGATGTTTTGTGTAGAGGGTAGATTATGGGTAGCTGTATCTATATGTTGAGATTGTGTGATTTATATTATGTAATGGGAAATGACATGTTAGAGTAGTTGTTATAGTGTGGAACGATTGCCGTGCAGAAGCATTTGATTTCATGAGTTGTTTTACATTTAATAAAGAGACGTTTATTCTAAGAATCAATTATATTGTTTTTGTTTTTTTTTATAATTATAACCCTAGGTAATGAAGCTATTGAACTTCGCAAATCCCTTTTCATAACATTTGGGAGGCTTGTCCATTATTAGGCTTGTTAGGGAGGATTGCATCGTTTGATTAATCTGATTATATCATGATGGCCATGTGACTGCTGCAAGCGTTTATTGCTGTCCTGTGATCCGTTTGAGCAGTGTCCCACTATCCTGTATCCTTCTGTACCTCCATGCTGCTGTATATGTGTGCTGTCCTGTCTGTATCCTACTGTGCTATACCGCGGTTTGACGGCAGACCACTGCTTGTCCTGCATCCCACTGTGACTGAATCCTAATGGTACTTATTCTGCTGTGCTGTACCCCGATTTGACAGTGTACCGCTGTCCGTTCAACATATGAGTGATAAGACCAAGACCGGGTAGTTAGATTGATTTATAAATATACTTGTAAAATACTAAAGGTTAAAGTTGTGTTCTTTAATTCTTACCCCAATTTAGAGCCTTAAATTTGTTTATGTATAGTGATAATTTAATTATCACTAATTAGGTATTATTTTTCCTATTAAATACATTATATAATTGAGTTTAGTTAAATACGTTTATGTTTCAGAGATTGTAAATTTAGATTATGTTGTTCTACAAACAATAATTCATTTATAAAGGTACTGAGGCGAGCGTTTGTAGTACTTGGATAGAAACATTGCAAACTAAATAGTAAGATGGAGACGAGTAGCTACAGAATACAATTGTTCCAAAAGCTTAGAGAAGAGGGAAAGGAGAGAGGTTTCAAAGACGAAGCTCTCAGTCCGTGGATAAAATGAAAGAACGGAAAGAAATGAAAGGACAGGATAAGATAAGAATAGAATAGAATAGAAGAACGGGAAAGGCAAGGTTAATTTAGAAGAAAGGGAAAGACAAGAATATATTAGAATAGAAGCAAGGGCACATGTTCTTAAGAAAATGAAAATAAAAGGGTATCAAGAGATTGAACTAGCTAAAATACATCTTTAAGAAAGGAAAAGGCAACACGAACGAAAAAATGACTCGTGAATTGCTCGAAATGCCTACGAACTGTTAAGTGTCGTCGAGTTGCCTAGGTCGTGTCTGGTGTCCGATGAGCTGTCGACAAGCCGTGGCAGTGTCTAGGCTGAAAACGTCCTGTCCTTTATCAGCCAGTAACCTTCGCGTCTAGAATAGCTAAACACATACACAGAGAAAGAATAGCTAAACTGAGAAAAAAGGAACGCAAAGATAAACAAAAGGGGTGGGAACACGGTTAGATAAACTGTGACCATTCAAAATATGATAAACTAGGTTAAGAAATTATGAGACTGGCGGAACTATAGGCTGGTTGACATGCGATTACTATAGGGAAACATAAGCCTTACTATTACACAAGCGATGGTCATTAGATTCAGGGTGATTAGATATTTGTCATTGCAAGTATTAACTGTGAGAATTTATATTATGTTTAATATAATGGATATCTTGTGTCACTCTGCAACAAGAAATACGTTTATTGATGGATATGAGGATATAACCAAGACGTTGGGATCCACACATAACACTTAGCCCGGGCTGTATGAGTTAGTTTACATTCATTGTGGATCTATTAATACAGGATGAAACTATGTGTACAGCCTCTGCTGACGAGGCAGAGCGTGTGGTCGACCAATTGTATGTCAATGATTGTGACAATGGATTTTCAATTGGTCCGTCGGTATGCGCTAGACAAGACAACAGCGTTGAGTGTTGACATCCCACTTGTGTCGAAGGGGACAGATGTGGCTGTATTTTAAAGCTGTCGGGTTACTGTGACCACGAGGTTGTGGTTGCGAGGTTGTAACAGGGACGCAGATGTCATAGAAAATAATACATTGGGAATGATCTTTGACGGGCGTACGAAGGGGAAAGTTCTATAACCGGGTTACTCAAGCCTCATACAGAACCTGATGTAAAGTCTAAGGACTTTTGTGACGACTGAATTCATAATGTGACATAATGTAATTAAGCCATACAGTTGATTGTTTTATTGTTACGATGTTGAGGAAGGTGGTGTAATCCATGAGGTGGGGGGTGGGTTAGTTTGATAAATTTTGTGATCAATCACTAGGAACTATGATCAAAGTTTGCTAAAATGTTCCTTTTGTTACAGCGAGCTGAAAGGGGGCGTCCAGTAATTATGTCAACAAAATAAGGGGGAGGGGATTTGGAAATGTTTTAAAATTTTTTGCAAAGAGGGGGTTGGTAGATTTATTGACGTCAGCAATCATGTTTTCTCTATTAAATTGTTTTTCTAAAAAAATTGGCTGTTTATTACATTATTATATAAACATTAATGAGTATAAATAGTCATATAATTGTAATGCTATAACTATATAAGATTTATTTAATGTGTGTCTGTACAATGCAGGTGGCTGGTTAGACTGATAACACACTTTGTTAGTGCAAGAGAAGTCAAAAGTTGGCCTCTGTTCGCCTGAATATTCTGCTTGTCAAAAATGACTAGAGCGGTATGTTTGCAATCATGTTGCAGGTATGAAACAAGGACACGGTTCAAGTGGCATGTGCTTTTGCGATAAATGATATTAATAGAGTAGGAATAAGATATTTTGAGAATTTGGAAAAAGTAAAGGCAATAA